TTTTTTTTTTTTTTTTTTTTTTTTTTTGAGACAAAATCCATCTCTATTGCCCAGACTGGAGTGCAGTGGTGTGATCACAGCTCACTGCAGTTTTGACCTCCTGGGCTCAAATGATCATCTCTTCTCAGCCTTCCAAGTAGCTGGAACTACAGGCACGTGCCACCACACCTGGCCAAGTTTTGTATTTTTGTAGAGATGGGGTTTTGTGATGTTGCCCAGGCTAGTTGTGAACTCCTGGGCTCAAGCCATCTGCCTGCCTCGGCCTCCCTAAGTGCTGGAATTATAGGTATGAGCCACCGCACCAGGCCTAGAAAATTCCTTTTGTAAGTGACCTATCAGTTGTAACTTCTGGAAAGAAGTCATCACAGAGCTAATAAACCCAGTTTAACTACCATTGATTTCACCAAAGCCATTGGTTTGAGCTCATTTCAACAGCCCATCGGCTTTCCACCCAAGCTTTGTGAGCATGTTTATTGCTTACATGCTGGTTCTTAAGGTAGAAGAATTACAAGCAGCACCTGGCAATGCTGGAAAATTGAGCCCATTTGAATCTTGTCAATGAAAATGATGTATCAACAGAAAGTGCCTCTAAGTCCCTAATTCAAGTGTGGGAAACAGGGTATAGCGGACATGGGTCTTGGTACAGTCATATGATGCTAAGGATGAACAGCAGTGATTGTGGGCCATTTGGCAACAGACATCAGCACATTTGTCATATGTGTCATGATAGGTGTGAAATGGCAAGGCCAGTGCTGGGACCCAAGAGCAGGTGCCCAGATAACGGTGGTGTGAGCCCCATTCTAATGAAGCCTGCAGTCTGGCTAAGCGGTGAGCGCCAGACAAGTCCTGTACCTGGCATGAAGTTTCTGCAAGAGAGGTGGAGCTGAGGTGTTGTGGCAGCACTCAGGGCAAGTGGTTGAGGGAATCAGGGAGGACTTCTCAGAGGAGGCGGCATCAAAGCCCGTAGCCTGATTTGTGGCACCCTCTCAGGGATGGGGTCCCAGTGCCAAACTGGGCCAGCAGCAGCCAGGTTGAAAGACAGGGCCTCACACTGAGAATCATCTTAGGAATTGTCAGAGACCGGCTTGGGCACTTGTGGATTCTGTGACTCAGGGTGAGTTTAGCAGCTCTGACCCTCTGGCATGTCATTTGTATAGCAGAGATTATAAGTACTACACAGTGTTGCTATGAGGATTTAATGGGATAGTGTGTGTTTAACTCTGGAAAGGAAAGAGTATCAGGCCCATCTCAGTGATCATAACAAAGAAAAGAAATTTTAAAAAGAGTTAGTCAGCCAGGTGCGGTGGCTCATGCCTGTAATCCCAGCACTTTGGGAGACTGAGACAGGAGGCTTGCTTGAGTTCAGCATTTGAGCCCAGGCTGGGAAACAGTGAGACTACGTCTCTGCAAAAAAATACAAAAAAAATAGCCAGGGGTGGTGGTGTGCACCTGTGGTCCCAGCTACTTAGGAGCCTGACATTGGAGGATGGTTTGAGGCAGGAGAATTGCGTGAACCCGAGAGGCAGAGGTTGCAGTGAGCTGAGATTGTGCCGCTGCACTCCAGCCCAGGTGACACAGCCAGAATCTGTCCTGAAAATAAATAATTCATTAATTAATTTTAAAAAAGAAAGAGTTAGCCAGTTGGTATAGTCTGAGCCCCTTTCTCTTGCTCAGCCTCAGCTTTCTTATCTGTGAAATGGAGTTGGAACTTAAGGGAATCTCCCTTCAGGGACCTGCAGATATATTCTGTTAGGCTGGCAGAAGGTTTTTTGTTTTCTGTTTGTTTGCATTGAGGGGCATTGTTTTGTCAGGTTTTGTCTGGAGAGTATTTTTTTTCCTTTAGGTCACCAGCCTCACCTTTAAATATTGTTTGATTCACTTGTCTGGCCCTTCAAGGCATTTGAGCCTACAACCCCAGAACTAACTTCCCTCAAAGACCTTTTCAGCTTTAACATCCTCTGCCTTACCTGAGAGCAACGTTGGCCCAATTGTCATCCATCAGTTGCATTTATGATTTCTGCTGCCATTTCCTAAGAGAAAGCTGGCCCTATTCAGGTGGAAAATACAGAAGCCCTTTGCAAGGGGCAGAGTTTCCACTTCCAGCTGAGGCATTTCCCACCTCTGATTTGCATGTTCTGTTACCTACTAAGACTGGGATTTTCTGGGAATGATGAGCCTTCTCTTTTTGACCATCCGTGATGCTTCAGGAGGCTACAGGTTTTCAGAGGTGCCCTGAAAGGCGTCTCAGCTTCTGCTGGGAACATTTGCCCACTGGCATTAAATAATACTCGAGAATCTCTTCTTTATTCAAAACCTGACAGCTAAATTTTGCTACCGTGAGGATTAAAAAGGTGGGCCTTTCCGAAATTCATTTCCAGTTAGAAATGAGGAAGGAATCTTATGAATTCAAAAAGCTTATGCAACTTCAGATAGTATCTATATCCAGCCAGTGTTTCCTAGCTAAAGTATTTCTTATCATAAACAAGAGCAAAGTCATGCTCTATTGCCCAGGCGTGGAGTGCAATCTCGGCTCACTGCAGGCTCCGCCTCTCGGGTTCAAGCAATTCTCCTGCCTCAGCCTCCCGAGTAGCTGGGATATCCTATGCTTACCTGACCAACATGCCTGGCTAATTTTTGTATTTTTAGTAGAGACGGGGTTTCACCATGTTGGCCAGGCTGATCTTGAACTCCTGACCTCGTGATCCACCCATCTTGGCCTCCCAAAGTGCTGGGATTACAGGTGTGAGCCACAGCACCCAGTCAAAGTCAGTCACTTCTTCAACAAACACACCCTGAGCTCCCAGCTCTGTGCCAGACCCCGTAAGAGAGGCTTCTGCATAAGGAAAGGAAAGACAGAGTCCCTATCCTCAAGTAGTTCATGGTGTCCAAAACAGGTATCCACTCACCAATAACTAGGTGCAGTGGGGCAGATGATATGGGCAGTCCGTCCTATTTAGGCATTAAAATAGCCACATGGATCACATTGGGCTGTATGTCATTCCAGGAATTTTCAGCATTAAAAAAAACGTAACCTCCGGGGAGAAATCAGAATAGTACTCAATTGCAACTGACATATTTTGGGCATATTTTTCTCTTTAATTTTTTTGAAGCAGTATCTCAGCTCTGAAATATTCAGTAAGAAAAATGAAAGCCAGTTATGTTCATCTGCCAGAATTCAGGTAATGAACACAGTTGATGGCATCTACGTGCCTGTTTATTGTAAGTCTTAGCTGGCAGTATCTTCAGTTATCATTTTGCCTCTAATATGATGGTAGCCACGGAAATGAAATCCCTTTCTTTCTCACAAAGCATGGTGTAAAATAATGGCACCAAATGGGTTTCTTGGCTTGATATTTGTATTGATTTTGATGATTTTTTAACAAACATGCCACATTCCTATATGTAGATAAATATTATTTCCCTTCTAGCTGCCGTCAAGGTCTGGGATTTCTTGGGGGTATCTTCTTCAAGACTTGCCTTCAGAAAGCATATTTCTTTTTGAATCTCCTTACTAGTGATATCTTACTGGGCTTTAAAGGATGCAGTTGAATTTCAGAAACAGCAAGAAGCGATTGAGAGCCACAT